TATATAATCTCCCCTATGTTAGTTTTTAGTTTACTCCTAAAAAAGGAATTACCAGGTGTTCTTCCTTTTTAAAAACTGTTTTCCGTAAGTAAATAAACTTTATCAGTTCACATGAATGCTCCCATAACTAAAAAAAGTTCTAACGGAAGGTAACCTTAAGGTAACATTTTGCGGGAAAAGATTACATTCTGTATTAAATTGTTTTATTTTTATTTTTATTTCTATTTCTATTTTATGTTTTATTTTTAAATCACCCCGGAGTACAATTAGCAAGGACGTTTGCAGTAAAAGCAACACACCTCCCGAATGAGGAGTTACCTGAGTAATATTTTTAGAAGACATGATTGCTTGATTATAGAATATGCGGCCAAAGTGATCACGATCTGCAAATCCATCTGCTTGGCGAGGTAAGTTGGCACCACCTGAATCAACTGCTTGGGAAAATGAGAGAAGTAAGTACATCTCTATGCACAGAGCATACTCTGCCTACTCAGTCAGGTGTGCGTCAATGACAGTATCAGTTCTTTATCTCTTTCACAAAAATCCTGTCCTATCTCTAGACTGTTTTGAGATTCTCTCTCCAATCCCCTAGTGCAACCAAACAGATTCAGATTTCCCCAAACACATCAGGATTTCCACCTCTGTGCAAAATCCTTCATGAATTTTTAGGACATTCTCTGGGGCAAAAGCCACAGACACACCATAAATTCTTAAAGCCTGAAGTGCAGGTGCACATTTGTAATCCCAACACGCTGGGAGGCTGAGGCAAGAGGGTCACAAGTTGGACCCCAGCCCGAGCAACTTAGTGCCTTAGTGACAGCCTGTCTAAAATCTAAAAAAGAGCTGGGGATGTAGCTGTGTGTGAAGGCCCTCGATTCAATCCACAGTGTAGCAAAAACAAAACAAAATAAAAAAAGAGTGCCAGCCAAGTTGAAAACAGAACTCTTGCTCCTTCATAACTGTATGATTACAGGTGTCTTCTGCCATTCTGTGCCTCAGTTTCCTTACCCATGAAATGAAGAAAACAACAGCAGGTATTCAATAGAGTTGTTACCAGGATGACATGAAATAATGTATGCAATGACTGAGTACACATGGCAAAAGTTAAAAAAATAAAGTTAGCGGGGCCAGGGATTTAGCTCAGTGGTTCCACCGCCTGCCTCGCAAGCACAAGGACCCAAATTCGATCCCTGGTACCAAAAAAAAAGAAAAGAAATACCCTATTTAAATGTATTCTCGTTTCAAAGGTTAACTTGACTTTCACTGGAAATTAAATTTACTTTAAACATCTACTCAAGGTTCCGGCACCTGCCTCGCAAGCAGAAGGTCCCGAGTTCGATCCCCAGTACCAAAAAAAATCTGCTCAAATTATATAATGCTTAAGCATTTAACACATTACCTGGGCACTCAAGAGATTCTTAACTATTAGCTCTTTTTTAAATAGCTTGAACCCACTTTGGTTAACAGAAATAAACCCATGTGTTGAGAAAAAAACCGCCACATGTAAGCATTAGTGGAGGTTAATCCTCAATGACAGCTTCATGCACAGTTCTTGTTTCATTTACCCCTCAAAGTTTGGAACAAAGAACAAGAATTTCCTTTCTAATCATGGGAGAAACCAGCAGCACTGTGAGATATGCACTGGTGATGCCACCACACAGGTGCCCTCCGAGACAGCCTTGCACATCACCAGCTAGCTAGCCAGAGAGCCGTGACTCTTGGGACTTGCCTAGGTAGATGCAGGGGAGCCGGTTCTGCAACGCAATTTCTTGTGCCCGTAGGTGTTTTTTCACGGTCACAGGGTAGTAGGTGCCTCCTTTGACAGTGGCATCGTTGGCAACAATCATGCATTCTACTCTGAATGGCAGAAATGGCATCGGAAAGAAAATATGAGAGATTTCTTCACAATTACAAGCCAACTTCAGCTCATTACAAGACACTCCAAAATAACCTTCAACTTCTAGTATACATCAATACTGACACTCACCAGTAGACAACCTTACGATATAAAGCAAACTTTAATTTATTTTTACAATATAAAATGACACTTTTTGTTTGGTTGGTTTTGGTGGTACTGGGATTTGAACCCAAGGCCTCCATACCAAGCTACATGCCCATTCCTTTTTTATTTTTTGAGACACAGTCTTGCTAAATTATTAAATTGCCCAGCTGGGCTTGAACTTGCAATCCTCCTGCCTCACCCCCCCCACCCCCCGCAGAGTGAAGGGATTACAGGTGTGCACCATCGTGTCTGGCTTAAAATGATTACTTTTGTTTTGTTTGTTTTTTGGTACCAGGGCTCAAACTCGGGATCTTGCACTTTCAAGACAGGCGGCGGAACCACTGAGCTAAATCCTCAGCCCTTAAAATGATTACTTTAACAAGTGTGCAAGCTCATACAGTATTTGAATTTAAAGACTCATCAGTTCTGTATTAATAGTAAAAAACTAACATAAGCCATGGAATGGTTCACAATGGTTCTTTGAATGAAAAAGTCCTAACAAGATCATGGCAATCCTCCTGCCTTAGCCTCCTGATTCCTGGGATTACAGGCCTGCACTAGCCGGCCCTGCCTAACAAGATGATAATACAGAAAGGGAGAAAGGGAGGGAGAGAGTCTCAAGGGAGAAGAACTGCCTCATAATAAACCTTCAAAATTTCCTTTTAGGAAAGTAATTCGCAAAAATGGAAATAGACTTGCCAAGAGCTCTGACATTTATTTTTATGTTTTCAAGAGTTCTTCAATGTTACTGCCATCTGCTTTTCCAAAAAATTTTCAAAAAAAAAAGTCTAAAATACAACATTTATCTTGTGTAAAGACACAAGGATGCAAACTTTAAAAGAGTACGTGGAAAACATATGAAAGGAACAATCAGGGAGTCTTAACAGTGCCCTTTCTCAGTCTGTTGGGTACAAGGGCGCACAAGTGACAAAGGGCGGGGTGACAAAGGAATTCAGTCAAGAAGGGGAGTGCAGAGCATCCCATGGACCCTTAGGATCAGAGGCTGCTGAAATCAGAGACAGTGACAGTATGCACTTCACCAAACTCGATCTTCTTCAGATCCACGGTGTTGTGTCACCCCTGTCCATTCCCTGGCACCCTCCAGGCCAGCCCACTGAATCCCAGCTGAACAAGTCTTTGTCTGAGCATCAACCTGAAATTATATAAAGTCTTTTTATATATTATAATTAACATTTTACAGCGTGGAATGCAAACTTTTAGTGTCTTCACCATTAAACAAACAACTTCGGAGAAAATCTAGGCTTACAGCGGGCTGCTGGGCATGACCTGCACAGCGCAGGGCCACACCAGGAAGCTTTGGAAGCTCAGGCTGTGAAGTTAGACAAAGCCAGACTGGAATTCGGGTCCTGTCACTTGCCAGATATGTGATGTTGGACAAGAGACAGAGCTACTTAGGCTCGTCTATTCAGAGATCTCAGACATGTTACAGAATAAGAATAAACTTAGTTAGACACAATAGCACATTGCACATCTACAGAACTGGTTCTGCCTCTGCAGCATCTGTGACTTTGACATTGAAAGTAAACTCTCCTTTGCCAACTGCTTCTTTTCCGTCTTTAATCTACATGGTTTGAGAGGCCCTGACCCCAGCGCCCACCTTCACGGGGAAGCATGTGAACCAGGACTCAGAGCCACGCTGGGGCTCAGCCACGGCCAGGCCACAAGCCTCAGCCCCAAGAGCGCTCCCTCCACCACAGCTCCTAAACGCCACCCCTCTCTGGGTCTGAGGGCCCAGTTTTAGGAAGCCAACACACGGCGAGCACGCCAGGACCCAAACAGTCAGTGATCTGACAACAGATTGAGGTCCGAGACTTAGCCACACTGAAACTTAGCAGAAAGAGAGTCAATGAAATCTCTTTTCTGCTTCAAGTACTCTGAGCAAACTGTTCATCAGTTGTTTTCCAGAGAAGGAATATTGATCATTCAAAGTGTTCAACCATGTTTCTAGGGATGGAAGGGCCATTTAGATTACAATGAAGTGCTGTTCCTTTACACCTGTTAAATGAGTGAACTCCTAGTGCTCGTTTCAGCAGCACATACACTAAAAATGAGCGAACTCCTGCTCAGTCATAATACCCAACACTAGCGAAGCTCTAATGATCAGCAAAATCAGTCTTTCCTCCCCCTGCCCACATGGAAAGAACTCTCTGATGGGCTACCATATATATATCTAATATGGATCCCTGTTTATCAATGTCCTCAAGAACTAGTGTCAGTGAAAAGGTTTTTGGTCACAGTTTATATAGTCTAGAGTAGAATTAAACAAGGGTGTCTCCTGGTATCTATCTCTTTATTTGGTATCACTGTGGAGTAAGGGGATTCCATCCCAACTAGAAAAAAACAAAAACAGTACTTCTATGTAAGTATGATACAAGTTCACTGTCTCATGCTGGAATGAACCAACAGTCAATTTGGTCTACAGGTGTCATCCATTCCTTTATTCAGCAAATATTTTTTATGTGCCTCCTATATGCCATGTCCCATTCCAAGGAATAACAACACAGGGGTGAAGAAGGAAGATAAAATTCCTGGTTTTACAGAGCTCTATGCCAGTGAAGAGGACTGATTAGGGGTGGCAAACAACTAGTTAACAAGCATAGAGAATAATCTCTGACCCTAAGTGCTTCAAAGATATAATAAGGTAATATAAGTATATAATTATGGTATTGATTATATGACAAGATTATCACAAAGCAAGGTAAAAGATGTAATGAAACACAGTAAATGACCTAATGAAACAAGGTAACTAAGGTGGGAGTTATGTTAAGACAGAACAATCAAGGAATAACAGCACCAACAGCAGCCGACTCCCACATGCCACTCACATGTACTAGTGCTGTTCTAAGACATGACACACCTCAGTCACAGGCAAGGAAAACAGGCACAGAGACATTAAGCAACTTGCCACCACTCGCCTACCAACAAGTGGGAAAGCCAGGTCTGAACCCAGGTGGTCTGGCTCCAGAGTGCATACTCCAGCGCGAAGCCAAGGGAAACCTGAATGAGGAGAGGGAGTTAGGGGGCACGCCATGCTGGAGAGGTGTGTGACCACAGCCCCAGAAGCAACAAGGAGTGCAACCTCATCAAGAAACAAGAGCAGAAAATGATTAAAATGAATAATTGATAATTTGAAATAGGAAAAGGTCCAAAGGTGTAGGAGTGGTGGCAGGGGAAGGGGAAAGGGAAGAAGGGAAAGGAAAAATTATGAGAAAAGAAAAAAAATGGAAACAAAATCTATGTAAATAGGGAAGGGTGGAGGGGGTGAAGGACGCACAGGTAATGGAGGAAAAAATAAGAACTAAGATACATCACGTACAGGTACAAGCACCCAATGATAAATGTAAACGTATTGTATACCTAAAATGTACCAATAAAAGAATTAAAAAGAAAAAAAAAAAGAAACAAGAGCAGGGTAGCTAAAGGGTTATAACAAAAGGGTGAGGAGGGATCAGATCTGATAGGTCCTTGTCAAGGAAAGGAACCTGATTTGCCAGAGAGAAGGATTACAGCTCAGTGATTCCTCAGCTAGTCAATGACTCAGGCAAGCAGTCCTTGCCATCAAACTGGGTTCTAAACCTATTCCATCCAAAGTTCCTCATTAAATACCTATTTCAGAAATTATCACAGAGCCTATGATATAGTAAGAAATACAAATTTTGGTCCCCCCACTCCATTCCTGGCAGGGAGCTCCTAAAACCCTTATTTCTGGGTGGCAGCAGTATCTCTTGTTATTCACAATTCCCTTTTAACCAGACCTGACTCAGGTTACATATACCATACCGCCATGGTCTGCAAAGGTCCATGGGTGTCAAAGGCTTGGTCCCCAGGTGGTGCAACCCCTGGGAGGAGGCTTTGTGGGAGGTCCTTAAGCCTGAAGCCATGTCCCTCAGGGGATGTGAGGCAGATACCCACCGATTAACACTGTGTTTGGTCTGACACACACTCCCTGCCATAGCCATGCACCATCCTCAACAAAATAGCTCAGGCAACCAACACGCTTCTGAACCTTCAGATCTATGGCCAAATAAACCCCTAAACTTACTTCCCAGGCATCCTGCCTCGGATATTCTGTTGTGGCAACAAGAAGCTGACTACTACAAGCTAATACTTTGAGTGCGCTTGTATTCTGACCATGTCTTATCACATGAGGTCAGGTGTGGAATTTTCCACTTGTGGGATGGAAAATATTGGAAATACTGTATAAAATTACTATCAGGCTATGTGTGTAAGGTGTGTATGAATCTCATGTTTAGACTTGGGTCCCATCCCCAAGGTATCTCATTGTATATATGCAACTATTCCAAATTTTAAAATATGAAACACTGCTATCATTTTGAATATAAAATTATACTAAACTGTTAGTACAGCCATGCACCACATAAAGATGTTTCAATTAACAACAGAGTTGTTAATTGTTAATTGTTACATGTACAGTGACGATCTGAGGGAATATCACAGCTGCCTTGGTTTGCGTGAACATAACTCTATAATGTGCACATGATCTGTTTCTCAGATCACATAACAGTCGTTAAGCAATGCGAGACCACTATGTACGCACAGGGCAAAAAAGAGGATGATGTGGAGAGTCATTATTACAACTGCAAGTATGATGAAGAGAAATTATTCTGCATATGCATTTCCATGATACAGGAATTTGGGTTAATTCTGCATTAAGTTTCTCATTTTTAAAACAGTTTAAAGTGTCCCTTAAGACTCAAAAACAAAAGCCTCCACACCGGTTGAACATTAAGCAAAGCGCTGTGGAGTGTGCTGGGGTAAAAGAGAGGAAACTAAATGAAAGGAGGAGCAACAATGGCCCAGTGGCAGCTGCACCTTCCCTGTTGGACCAGATCACAGGAGAGGATAAGCAAGGCCCAAGAACCAGTGTGAGAGTGAACTCAGTCAGCAGTTCACCTGCTGAGCTCACAGCCCGGTTACTCAAAGCCTGGTCCTTATCTGCAGACTGGGGTGGCTGTGATGGCATCCTCTCTGTTGGAGCCCCAGGGAGGACTGGGCTGGAAGGGCCTGTCACAGCCCTGCACAGTGCCTGCATGGGGAAGCGACATCAGTCCTACACACAGAGCAAGTTCGCATGCAGAACAAAGCAATCTAGGTTCCCTATAGAACAGCAGCCAGGGCTTATTAAAACACAGATTGCAGGGCCCACCCTGAGCCTTTCTGACTTAGTAGCTCCAGGAAAAGACCTGAGAATCTGCTTCTCTAATCAGCACACCCAGGTGAGGCTGGTACCGCCTGGGGACCACAGCTGGATTGGGAGCATTGCTCTAAGATGGGGCTCTCACCTGGCAGGTACACAGATCAACTGCGGGACCGCAGAACACTCTCCATGCCAGGCCCACACCTGGAGAGGCTAAGTGCCAAGATCTGGATGCGATCCCAGGGATCTTTGCCAGGATTTCTCCTTTTGATTTTTGTCTGTAAGGATCCACAAACGAAGCCAGGTATGGCTGGGTACACCTGTAACCCCAGCACCCTGGGAGGCTGAGGTCGGAGGATTTCAACTACATGCCCAACCCAGGCAATGGAGCAACTTAGTTGAGCTCCTATCTCAAAATAAAAAAGCCCTGGGTTTAATGCATAGTACTGGAGAAAAATAAAAAGCTCCACAAAGGGCTCTCCTGTAGGCCTGAGTAGGATATACTCAGGTCCTAAACATTGCTGGCACAAACCTGCGTGCTGACATGCAAAGTGACCGCTGCATGCCTGCCTCCCATCCCAACCTTTCTCCTGACCCTTGCACATGAGCACAGGTAGGAGGCTCACCCTGATACCCTTCCGATGCCAGTGATGATGCCACCCGCGGGGACTTCTTCATCGCCATACAACTGGTACCCTGCAAACTGGGACAACTCCAGAAATGGAGACCTGAGGGGAAAGGAGAGCTTTTGAACTGATGTCCTTCAATTCATATATATATAGTTAAATGGTTACACAAGGAAAAGGATGTTTTTTATGAGGCAGTCTCAAATATGCACGTTGTATACAAAATCTACAAAACAACAAAATCTGATGCGAATGTCTTGAGAATTTATATAGTGTATTCACAGGACAGAATGCTGGGTACTTAAAGTGTTGTACAAATGTATTTATTAACAGAAAAAGAACAGCGGCCAGCACTATGTGGCACTTACCACGTGCCAGGCTCTCCTGCAAGGGCTTCCTAAACACTAAGGCTTTGGGTCCTCAGAAGGACCTTAGGAGGCACGAACTTTATTCTGCTCCCTGCTGTGGCCCTAGAGCCTGAAACAGTGCCTGATGCACAGGAGGTGTGCAGTACACAGCTGCTGTTTCAATCTTACGATAACAACCAGAACTCAAAACCCCTATTTACCACACTGTCTGACAAACAGTACCATGGGACAGAGAACATTCTTAGTTAGCGCTTGGGTCGGTACCAACCCTGGATCGATAAGACTGTCGATTCTTTCTCTGGGCAACAGTTTTCCTCTTGACGTATGAAGTGCTCGGGCTTTTTCACTGCCTCCTATGAGAAAAACATGGTTACATCATATTGGATGGACATAGGATCAAACATGGCCTGAGTTTAACATAATTCCACAAAAACACTTAATGCTCAATTCAAATTGAATAGTTCATTGTGGCTGGACATGGTGGCACATACTCTGATCCCAGGGAACAGAGTAAAGAGCTTCCGCCACAGAAGGGGAGACAAAGTGAACAGCTTAAATTGTGCAGCAAGCTAGGAGGCTTCATTCAGGGCCTTCACCTTGAGCTACACGGAGTTGTCCAGGTTGGGCTCGTATTTGAATCCTCCTGCCTCAGCCCCTCAGAATGCTGGGATTATAGGCACGCACAACCATGTCACCTTCTAATCTTTTAAAATAAACATAATTGTGCTCGATTTGGCAGCACATATACTAAAATAAAAGTATTTCTGGGAGTAAAAGAGTTAAATGACAAGAGAGTGAAAACTTGGTCAAACTTTTTGTTTAGGGGTAGGAGAAAGAGGAAAGAAGGGGTTAGAGGAGGGGTTGAAAGGGCAGAGAACACTTCTGAGAACAATGAACACATTTACTATCATGATTGTGGTAATGGTTTCAAGGGGTATTTTACTGCCTGTCAAGTATAATCAATAAAGTATTTTAAAATATACAGGAGAAGAAATACAAGCCACTTGGCACTCTGAGGAAAGCGAGGCCTGGGGGAAAGCTAGCACAAGAGGTAAGCTGGAGGAGAAAGCGGTCACAGGGCTGAGTAAGAAGTGCTTAGGCAAGAGTGCTGAAGACAGCAACCCTTTCGGTGAATTCTGGCCAGAAGAAGCCGTGGCACGCATACTGTCACCCTCCCCGGACTTTAGTGCAGAAAGGAGCTCCGGTGTCTAAACTGCGACAGGAAATGAGGACCCTTAGCGTCTGTCCTACCACATCTCACAGTGATGATCTCCACTCCCTGGACTCCACACAGGGAGGCCCGGCCTTTTCAGGAACGTTAGCACCTTGCTCACCTGTCACTGCCCTGAACCCAGGGCACAGGCCAGGCGCAGACCAGGCTGCCAACTTCACAGTGAGCACCACAGGAGCACAGGGCACAGTCTGGCTCCTGTCTTCAAGCATCTTCCACAACCCTGAAAGCCTTCTCTTCTGCTCATTAAGCCACCAAAACCATTTCTACTTTTGTATATTCATAAAGTTACTGCCTGGCATTAAAAACAAAACACTTCTGAATTTATCAAAACACTTGAGCCCTTCAATGAACCTGAGCTAATCCAAACCCTTATTTCTGGCTAGCATGAATAACTCAGCAGGCTGACTTCAGGTCAGTGTTCATGCAGCCTACACATCCAGCTAGGGACAGGGAGATCAAAGCCAGCGCAACCCTGAGAAGAAACCTGAAACAAAAGCAGAGGTAGCACTGAGAAGGAAATAAAAAAACAAAGAGGACAAGAGTTACCTAATCTGAGCCAGGTGCAGCAGCGCATGCCTATGATTCCAGGACTCTGGGAAGCTAAGGCAGGAGGGACACAAGTTCAAGCTCACCCTTGGCAACTTAGTGACTTAGCAAGACTCTGTCTCAAAATGAAAAATAAAACGGCCCAGAGATATAGCTTAGCGCAAAGTCCTCTGGGTTCAATTTCCAGTTGTTTATTTGTAAAAGTTATCTAGGGCCATGGATTTAGCTCAGTGGTTCCGCCGTCTGCCTTGCAAGCGCAAGGTCCCAAGTTTGATCCCCAGTACAAAAAAAAAAAAAAAAAAAAACCCATAAAAGTTACCTAACTCGTGTCAACCATTTTATTTATCACAAATAATATTGAATGAAAAATGTCAAGAGTTTATGAAACTCTTGCCCCTTTTTCCTGTCTGAACATTATTTAGGAAACTGCGTGAACTGAAAAATCGGGACGTCCGGATTCTACAGTGATAGGGTAAAAAAAAAAAGACGTGAGTACTCCCTAAATCTGAATACAATCATTGCCAAATGCAAGGAAAGGCATTCACAGAGCAAAATCACAGAAGAAAATACCCACAGTAAGATACGCAAAATCCTCTAAACAAAAACAAAGACACACATACATTTTGCTATTAAAACTTATTATGAAGTTTCCTTGAGGTGCATCAAAACATATGTTTAGAGCCAGGTATGATGGTACACACCTGGAAACCCAGCACTCTAGGAGGAGGCAGATAGGAGGACCGAATGTTTAAGCCCAGCCTGGGCAACTTAGCAATTTAGCAGGACCCAAAATCTCTTTAAAAAGGGGGGCCTGGGGATATAGTTCAGTGCAAAGGCTCTAAGTTCAATGTCCAGTACCAGAAAAAAAAATGTATGCTTAGGACTAGTAGTGTAGCTCAGTAGTAGAGCATTTGTCTAGCATGCATAATGCTGTGGGTTTGATCCCCAGCAACGCAGAAAAAGAAAAAAGAAAAAATGTTTTTTCTCTTTATATTTTTCTCTATTTTTAAAAATTTCTATGAGTATTTTAAAATTAACTATTTAACTATTTTAAGTTAACATGTATATATTTTTATGTTTGTACAATACCCATTTTCATGGCACAACAGCGAAGACAAGGGCTGTCCTTCCTCCTGTCCCCACTCCACCTTCCTGGACCAGCCTTCACCCAGGGCCTGGCAGACCTCACCATCCTCCACAGCACTCAGTGCTACAGGGCTTTTTCTTTTTTTGCAGTACTGGATGAGGTGGGTTGGACCCAGGATCTTTGCACTCAGCTGCATCCCCAGCACCTTGCCCTTTTTTTGTGTGCTTTTTTTTGGGGGGTACCGGGGATTGAACTCGGGTCCTTGCGCTTGCGCAGCAGGCGGCGAAACCACTGAGCTAAATCCCCGGCCCAACCTGCTTAGAAATTTTTTTCCCCCTCGTACCGGGGCTTGAACTTGGGACCTTACGCTTTCAAGGCACGCGGCAGAACCACTGAGCTAAATCCCCAGCCCGTCTTTGCCCTTTTTTTTGAGGCAAGATCTCACTAAGTCACTGAGCTGTCCAGGCTAGGCTGGCACTTGTGCTCCTCCTGCCCCAGCCTCCCAGAGTGCTGGGATTATAGATGTGCGCCACCACACTCAGCTAATATTCTTAATATATGACAAGTACAGCACCTGTTACTTGAATGAAGGAGCATTATAAAATCATTTTGTTTTTAACCCTCCCATCACCCTCATAGGTAGGATGGGAACAATTGTCATCATATGAAGATTGAGGTCCATGCCTCCTCCATCCCTCTCTGAGTTGCATGTCTGGGTCATGGTAACTTTTAATGGACGTCACTGATTTTTTTATTTTTTAAGCTAAATGCTGTAATAAAAAGACAGAGACCAAGATCTTCAGCATTTACTATTCTTTTCTATCTATTCTAAGTAATCTATTAAGTCAAAAGAAGAAATGTGTGTTTAAAAGTAACACCTGGGCCTGGGATTTAGCTCAGTGGTGCCCCCATCTGCCTCGAAAGTGGAAGGTCCCGAGTTCAATCCCCAGTACCAAAACAACAAAAAAGTGAGTAATACCTATTATTAACAATTCTACTCTTTTTTTTTTCTGTGATACTAAAACAACTTTATTTTGCATAATAAGTTTACTTTTTTAAAGGCATATAGACAAAACAAAGTAAACATTTAAACAGATTTTAACTTCTGCCCTAAAATTGTTCCATTAAGTGTCAGTCTCTAAACATTTTTAGTTCAGTAATCATCATCCTCATCAGAGTCCATTACTTTTCTTCTGTTGAATTTAACTGTTGTTTTCTTTTCTGTTTGTTGGCTTACTTTTTCAAGGATTTCTATTAAACCTTGTTCTGAGACCTTCCCACTTAGCTGTCCATACTTTGCCATCTATATAAGGTAATTCTCTACTGCTTTCGTTTTTTCAGGCTTTACAAGTGCTAAGTTACTTAACCTGGCCCGGGCTGATTGATCCAGAACTTGCGCTAAGATACTGTTTCTCATTTCTGCTTCCCTGTGCTTTGCTTCCTGTTGTGCATCATTAGGATCCACGTGTTTCGCCTGCAACTCAGCCAGCCTCTCCTTCCTCAGCGCCTCCAGCTCCTCATCCGCCATGGCACAACCGTCGCGGAGTAGCAGCAACAAATCTACTCTTAAGTTCAAGTGTGAGGCCTGGGATTTAGCTCAGTGGTTCCACCGCCTGCCCCGCAAGCGCAAGGTCCTGAGTTCCATCCCCGGTACCAAAAAAACAAAATAAAACAAAAATAAAACACATAAATCAGGCATTGTGACTCATGCCTATGATCCTAGCACTCGGCAGGCTGAGGCAGGAGGATCATTTCAAGTTCCAGGTCAACGCAGGCTACACAGTGAATTCAAGGACAGCTTGAACTACATCAGGAGATCCTGTCTCAAAAAATAAAACAAGAGGGCCAGGGATTTAGCTCAGTGGTTCTGGCGCCTGCCGCAAAAGTACAAGATCCCCAGTTCGATCCCCAGTACCAATAAATAAATAAAACAAGAAACAAAGAAAAGGGATACCGAGAAAGAGACAGAGAGAGAGAGAGAGAAGAGAAGAAAGAGAGATGGAGTTGAATGCTTGCCTAGCATGCATGAGGCCCTGGGTTCCATCCCCAGCATAACAACAAAAAGAAAGAAAAGAAAAGGAAAGCAGGCAAGCGGGCTATTTACAAAGTTTTAAGGAAATCACATTTCCTTAATCAGCAATAAATCCACTAGAAATTAACTTAGTAGGTAGTATATGACTAATGAACTCGAAATGTTTTAGTTTAAGAGAAAAAAAATTTCAGTGCAGTGCTCTGAAATAAAAAAAAAAAAAGTAAAGCACTGGTGAATTTGGATGGCTACTTTTCCCCAAAACAGTGCCCGTGTTCAGGGAGCAGAGGCCCTGGCGAGCTCAGCCAGCTTGACCCACGCGCAGCCTCCACAGCGGCCTCCACATCGTCAGATGCCACCCCCCGCAGCCCAAAGGACTCAGAAGACCATGTGTCTGTCCTCAGCAGGAAAGGGCTTTTCTTGTCCTTACTCCCTACACAACAGTACAGCAGGTGTCCAGACAGTGTCTCCATTTCGCAGGTGTAATAAGTGACTTCGAGTGTGCAGCAGGGTGTGGCAGGCCACCCACTCCCAAAGTTATCAAGGGCTGCCTGGGGCAAGAAAAAAATAAAACACTTGCCTTTCAACCAATGCAGTTTCAAGGGTCGGAGCTTCATGCTCCTGGTTTTTCCTGAAACCACTAAGCTTGAGTAAAGACATGTTAGCGAACCCTCCACGGAGGCACGGGGTGAACACAAAGCCGCTTACCTCGCTGCACAAGCTTGGCGCGTTCCCGGAGCTGACTCACCAGCGCCTTCATCTGCTCGTAGTTCTCCTACAGCAGAAACAGGATGAGGGGCACAGGAATATTAGACAGCAATGATCTCCACCAAATGAGGCTCGGGAAGGAACAGCCCCACGCCAGGCCTTTGCGGCCTCACAGGCCACGCCCCACGCACTCCCTCCCCGGCTGGGAGGATAAATTCCACCCCCTGCACCTCTGCCCCTCTCCAACCCACCGCTCTCCTCAGCAGAATTCGCTTCCCCACCTCCCTGCTGCCTCTTCCGGCCACTCCTACCCACTTTAACATCTTTGTTCTGTCAACATTTGTTGAACCTGACCTCCACTTGTTTTCCCTCTTTTAAGGAATATAAGCTTTTTCATATCAACTTATTTTTTCCTGACCTAAAACTCCAATCAATACATACTTGCTTAATCACAAATGACACTTAAAAACAGCCCAGGAGGAAAAAATACATCCTATTTCTTTTTTTAAAAAGAAAAAACTAAAGCCAACCATGATGGCACACGCCTGTCATCCCAGCATCTGGGAGGCTAAAGCAGGAGAATCACAAGTTTGAGCCCTGTCTGGGCAATTTAGTGACTCACCATGACCTTGTCTCAAGTTAAAAATGAAGGGCTGAGGATATATTTCAGTGTGAAGGCCCTGGTTTCAATCTCCAGTAAAACAAAAAGAACTCTATATTTGCATGTGTTTGATTTTTCTTTTCTTTTTTTTTTTTTTTTTTTTTTTTTTGAGACAAGGTCTCACTCTGTGTTCAGGCTGTTCTTGAACTCACTATGTAGACCAGGCTGGCCTTGAACTTGCAATCCTCCTGCCCCAGCCTCTTGAGTCCTAGGATTACAGGTGTATGCCACCACACCCAGCTGATGTTCAGAAATTTTCTAAATAGTACACAAAAAATATATAAACAGTGAGAAGTAAAAAAAGAGTAGAGGGGACTCATTTCTTACCTCTGTACATTTAAATTTTGTTTGGTCACCATGTTACTTCAGAACAATATTTATATAGCTAACTATTTTTTGAAATTCAAATTGTCCCACTAATATTTTGTTCCCAAGAATGTGACTAACATCTCTGGTTACTTAGTTTCTTTTATGTGACAGAATGCCAAACAGTTTCCTGGCGTAAATTTAGTCTTTTCCATACGGCTTCACATTTCCTGTTTCCTACAGCTCTGAGAGCTCCTGAGGCCATGGTTTCTGCAACATTCCCTTGCGCTGCCTGGCGTTGTCCCAAAAGAGTGGAGTTGGGGGAAAGACCTGTGCCCAGGGACGGAGGGCCACCCCTGAGCATCCCTGGGGAACTAAACTCCAGTGCTACCTACTACAGCTTCCTCAGCAGAAAGCTTTTCCTTGTTTTCTTTTTAAGACAGAGTCTCACTATGTAGCCCAGACAAGCCTAGAACTCGTGGTGTTCTTCCTGCCTCAGGCTTTTAAGTGATGGGTTTAAAAAAAATACCGATGCTTAGTCCTCAGCCCCCAAAAGCCTGATGCCATAGGTTTCAGGTGTGGCCTGGGCACTAGGAGCTTTAAAAGTTCCTCAGGTGACTCTAACCTGCAACTCAAACCGAAAAACACCGGCCTCCCTACAACTTCCACGCCTGAGATTTCACTCAGTGCAGATGGAGCAGACAAAGAGCAAGGCTTTGGTGAGAGACATATCCCCCTCTCGCCACAGGGTCTTTTCCAGATCATGACAGGAAAGAGGAAGCTAAGAACTCTCTCTCAAGCCACGATGGAATCCCTTTATCTGTGGGAGCAAACGCTGTCTCCAGGAAACAGAGCCCGGCACCAGCGCATGCTGTTCATCTGGCCACCAGCAGCTGGCACCACAGCAGTGTGCAGATGTCACTTGGAAAGTAGCAAGGGACCTGGCAGAGAAAAAGAAAAAAACGCCAACATTCCCCACTCTTCCAAGGCTGTTCATCATCAAAGACAGACACTGTCAGCTGCTAATTCATATCCCTTCTTCCTGTCTTCCCTCACCTCTGAATCCCAGTTTTATTCAAGGCAGCAACATGCCCAACCAGAAAAAGTAACATATCCCAGGCTCCTTCTGTAGACAGCCACAGCCATGTGACTAAATTCTAACCAATGAAATACAGTCAGCTTTCTTAGCCCATGAGGTAGGTAGGGTACATTACTTGTTCAAAATTCTTCCAGCCAGGTGTGGTGGTGCACACCTGTAATCCCAGCACATGGGAGGCTGAGGCAGGATGATCACTGTAACTTTGAGACCAGTCTGAGCTATACAGTAAGTTCAAGCCCAGCTTGAACTACAGAGTGAGACCCTGTCTCAAAAGAAAAACAACAAACGTGCAAAATATAATAATCAAAATTTTTAAATGGACTTCAGGGGCCCAACAGCAAATGTGAGCAGCCAAAACAAAGAATTAGCAAACTAAACTCAAAGAAAAGACATAAAATTATAGAATTTAAGAAGCAGGAAAGAGAGAATGTGAACAGAGCCTAGGGCCTTATGGGATACCACCAATATGAGACCAATATACAGATTATAAGAGTTCCAGAAAGAGACAAACTCTTGGAAGAAATAATGACTGCAAACATCCCAAATTTGAGGAAATACTGAATCTACAAATCCAAGAATCTCAACAAACTTCAAGAATAAACTCAAAGAGACTCACACCAAGGCACACTATAATCAAACTGTCAAAAACAGACAAAAAGAACCTGGGAAACACCAAGGCAGATAATAGTTCATCGTGCACATGGGAGCTGCAATAAGATTTTTGTCCACTGATCTCTCTGCAGAAACCCTGAAGGCCAGAAAGCAACAAGGTCAGACATTTAAAGTGCTGAAAGAAAAAGAAAAAAAAAAACTCAATAAAGAATTCTATACCTACCAAAACTGTCCTTCAAGCATGAATGAGAAATAAGGACATCTCTGATAAACACAAGCTGAAAAAATCAACATGAACATCAGGCCAGCTCTCTAAGAAATGCTCATGGGCCAGTAATGGTGGTGTGTGCCTGTAATCCCAGCTAAGTGAGAGGCAGAGGCAAAAGGACTGCAAGTTCAAGGCCATCCTGTGCAACTTAGTGAGACCTTGTCTCAAAATAAAGTTTTTTAAAGGGCTGGGGATGAAGCTTAGTGGTAGAAGTGATCAAGTGTTTCATGTACAAACTGTTGGGTTCAATTTCCAGGAGAGATAGAGGCTGACTGTGACTCATGGGAGTCCTTCAGGTTGAAACGAAAAAAATGCTACACAGTAACTCAAAGCCATATAAAATCTTCAGTAAAGGTAAATACTGTACCTGAGCAAATATAAAAACCAGTGTTACTGTAATTTTGGTTTGCAGCTCCATTTCTTATTTTCTTTCTTTCTTCTTCCCCCCCACCCCCCCAGTACTGGGGATCAAACTCAGGACCTTGCACTTGCAAGGGAGGTGCGGTGCTGCTGAGCTAAATCCCTGGCCCTCCATTTCTTATTTTCTACAGGATTTAAAAATGCAAATTCATAAGAAGTAATTATAGAGCTATGTTACCAAATACACAATACAGTATACCAAGTTGTAATCTGTAACATCAATAACATAAGGTGAGGGATAGACTTGTAAAGGATGTTTTTGTATGCAGATACATCAAGCTGGTATCAATTCAAAACAGCCAGCTATAGCTGCTATAACTCTAAGATGCTACACACTATTCTCACAGTACCCACAACAGAAATAGCTAGAGAACAGACAAAAAAAGGAAATGAGAAGGGAATCAAAATACATCACTACAGATCAACGAAACTTGAAGGAAGCAGACCTTGTGGTGCATGCCTATAATGACAGCACTTGGGAGGCTGAGGTGGGAGAATTGTCATGAGTTCGAGGCCTACCTGCGCTACACAGTGAGTTCAAGATCAGCCTGAACTGCGCAGCAAGATCTTGTCTCCAAAATGAAGGAAGCTAGAATAATAGGACCAAAAAACGGAGACACAAAAAAATCTATAAGACACACAAAGAACAAAATGCCAAATATAAGTCCTTTCCCAACAGCAATTAGTTGAAATATAAATGAATTAAAGCCCCAAATAAAAAGATACATATTGGCAAAATGGATTTTAAAAAACATGATCCAGCTCTATGCTATGGGACTCACTCTAGGTCTAAGGATATACAGAGAAGGAAAGTGAAAGGCTGGAAAAAGATATTCCAAACAAACAGTAACTAAGGGAACAGCACTGACCGTGCTGTTAGCAGACAAAACAGACTTTCCCTCAAAAGCAACCACAAGCGGCCAAGGAGGACATTTTATACCACTAAGAGTCAATTCACCAGGAACGTATGATAATTACAAACTTATATGTATCAAACAGTCTAGCTCCAAAATACACAAAGCAAAGACAGAACTAAAGGGAGAAACAGCTCTACGATAATGAGATTTCAATACCCCACTTTCAACAATGGATAGGACAACCACATAGAAGACCAATAAGGACACTGAGGACTTGAAGTACACAACATACCACTGGAGCTGACAGATACATGCAGAATACACCACCCAACAGCACTGCACACTTCTCAGGGCACAATGAACTTTCTCAGAACAGACCACATGTTAGGCCATAAAACAAATCTTAATAAATCTTAATAAATCCCAGCACTCGGGAAGCTGAGGTAGGAGGATTGCTGTGAGTTCAAGGCCAGTCTGGACTACCTAGCAAGACCCTGTTTCAAAAGACCAAAAAAAAAAGTTTAAAAAGACTGAAATCATCTGAAGCACCTGTTTCAATCACAATGGAATGAAACTAGAAATCAATAGAAGGAAAATTCACAAATATATCGAAACTGAACAAGACATTATTAACCAACCAATGGACCAAAGAAAACCATAAATCCCCTGGAGCTGACCTTTGCCCATTAGAGTGGGGAGTATCTAAGCAAGGCCCCGCCCACCAGATCTCACCAGGGCACAGCCAGCACTGCTACAATTTGCCTCCAGGGCAATCCTTCATAAACCAACCTAATCTCTTTGAAATTTGTTCTTTTATTTTTGAAACAGGGCCTCCCTATGTCATTCAGACTGGCCTTTAACTCACAAGGATCCTCCTGCCTCAGTCTCAGGAGTTCAGGGATCACAGGCGTGGGCCGCCACACTCCGCGCTTCAACTCTCTGGACTGCCACCTAAGTCTCTCTTCTCCACAGTCCACCCTCCACATCGCCACCACACTCAGGTGTGGTACCCACAGGATCATACCTCTCCCCTATTTTAGTGGACAGCCTGCAAAATAAAATCTGAATGGGGCTTTTGCATCCAAGACCTTTGGTCCATGAATTCTGTGTCCTACCAGTAACTCCCTAGGCTTCACACTCTCTCTTGTATTTTTACTTAGAGACAAGATCCACTGTTTCCCAGGCTGCTGCCAAACCCCTGGGCTTATTAAGTGATCCTTCGGATCCCCTGCCCAAGTGCTGGAACTACAGGTGTGTGACCATGGCCAGCTCATCCACCTTAATAACCTAAGTGCCTGTGTTCTTGTCCTTTTCTTGGTTTGTATGGTCTCACCTTCACCCTGCAACCTGAACCTGGCCAGCTCTTTCCCAATCAAGATCCACCAAACCCATTACCTCCTACTTACAGCTGTGTGTCATCCATCACCTTTCAAGCGCTACACACAAGCACTCCACAAACCGCAGTTTCCAGCTCTAGTCCATTTTCCCCACAAAATTAAGAGTCCCGCTGCCACACGTCTATATCAAGTATCTAAAATATGTGCCCAGACCACAGACACTGTTCTTTGTTTCTGAATTCAACATTCTGCCAAAATATTTGTGTGCTATTTGCACAATTTAGATGTCATCTGTATAGTTAGTTAGAAGCCAAGGGAGAGACTGAAATTTTCCAGCTCCGATGTTTGACAAGCTGAATTGTTTTGTTTTTGTTTTTTTGACCTTGTGAAACCTCTCAATTCGAAGATACTGTGGGGTATGTATTTTCTGCTAATAGAACTATGTAACTAAGGTAGCCACAGCCCACTGTTAGCAGTGAGAGGTCAGGTGGTTCCCAAAGCTGCCTCTGTCTCCCAAGAATTTCATCGACGGCCTGTTATCCCAGCACTCTGGGAGGTGAGCCAAGAAGATTGGAAGTTCGAGCCCAGCCTGAGAAACCTACCTATTCAGCAAGATCCTGTCTCAAAATAAAAAGTAAAAAAGGGCTAGGGACATAGTTCAGTGAGAAAGCCTTGGGTTCAACCCCAGTATCCAAAAAAAAAAAGCAAACACCAGGACTCCACCCTAGAGACTCAGGGTTCGGAGTGGGGCTCAGGTAACTCATCTGCAACAAATTCCTCGGACAATGCTAAGGCAGAGACAAAGTACAGCACAAGCTGGAAAAGTGAACTGAAATGTATTGGGACGCTTCTTCCGTCCTCCTTCAACAGCACCCCGTGCGCCCCAGCATCCTGCCCAGAGCTCCAGGGGGCCCAGTGCTGCCCAGGCGTCCGCGGACAGGTCCCGCCCCGCCGTTGCCCACCTGGTACATGGCGGAGCCCGCGTCCGGCCGGGAGCCCAGCGAGGTCACCGCGTCCCCGTGATAGGTGCGCGGCCGAGAGGCAGCGGCGCAGGCCCAGGGCTGCAGGGCTGACCTCAGGGCGGCCCACATGGCGGCGCAGGGTGCCAAGGGTGCCGTGGGTGGGCGGCCCGCACCCGCCAGGAGGCGGGCGACACAGTTCACGCTCTAGCAGCGACAACCCAGGAGGCCAGCTTCTCACGCTCGCCTCGCACGTACGCGCGCCGCTTATCATAGGCCAGCACCGCGAGCCACGTCTCCCAACCCAACCAATAAGGGATAGAAGCGCAGCCCCGCGAGGTCCCGTCCCATCGCGAGCCCTGGAGAGCAGTCCCAGAGCTGAGCGGTCTGTCGTGGCTCAGAGTTGAGAGAGCCTCACACGTCCATCAGTACTACTCCGATCAGGACGGTCACCGTTTTGACAGCACTGGTGAATCTCTTCCATCATAGGAGCGCAGACAGCACAACAAGCCTCTACCCCTGCCCCAGGGGTCTTACATTTCTGATTATTTTCACGATGTGATAGAGATTGTGGACATCAGCGTCGTGATTGTTTTTTAATTTATTTTTGTACTGTGGGTTGAAGCCAGGATTTTCGCACTGAGCTACATCCCCACCCCCTATATTTTTTATTTTGAGACAGGTTTTTGCTAAGTCGCTAAGTTGCCCAGGCTGGGCTGGACCTTGTTTTCTTGCCTCAGCCTCCCAGAGTGCTGAAATTATAGATAGGCGCCACCACGCCTGGGTCAGAATTGTGGTCTTAAATAAAGGACCTCAAACATACTCACAAAAATTAAAAACAAGCCAGGCGGCGTGGTCAACCCTCAAGAGGCTGAGGCAGGAGGATTGCCATGAGTTTGAAGCCAGCCTGGGCTGCATAGTGAGTTCAAGGTCAGTGAGACCCTGGCCTTGAACCACACAGCAAGACCCTGTTTCAAAAAGCCATAAATAAATAAAGAACACTATAAAAGTGTCTTGAACTTGCTTAGAGTATAGGGTGAGGAACAAAAAGGATGAGCAAGGTAGAGAAGGTGTGTCCACCTCCTGGAAGGAAACTTAGTTCTAGACTTAAGGGTTCTTATAAAAAATAATACAAATGACCATATGAATAGTGCTGAACTGCGCAGAATACAGTAAAGAAACAATGCAGCTGGGAAAGGAGGCAGCTGAGCAAAGCCCCTTCACAGGGGCACCGAGTATGGATGGAGACTGAAGCACCGCTGGGCCCAGGAAACGGAGAAGAGCCCACCGCATTAAGGCAACCACCAGAGCAGGCGCTGAACCCCAAAGGTTGGATGTACACAGTGTATGCCTCTGATGGTCAACAGAAAAATGCTTTCCCTCCATGCAGGGCACCTTCCCACTGCCACACTGGCCATGTGAGCTTCTCAGTGAATTGAGACAGATCTTTTAAGGCGTGGATCAGGGCTCTCCTCTCCCTGAAGCCCTCTCTGACCCATTTACTTCTTTACACCTTGACCAGACCTCTCTGGAGCTCAGCTCACACTGTTTGGCTCCTGTAGTTCATCTAACTTGGGATCTTGTCAGAGTCGTCTTCTTTGATTTGTGTCCAGTCAAGGGCCTGCATATGATAAATGCTGTTTGTTGAATGAATAATCAAAAACAACTGTGGCATCAGAGGAAGGAGAAGATCTAGAATTCCTGAGGGAGAGTTATTTAAAGGCTAGATAGAGGGATGGCGATTAGCTCAGTGGCACTGTGCCTGCCTTGTCCTGAGTTCAATCCTCCGTACCAAAAAGAAGAAAAAAAAATTAAATGGGCCAGGGATTTAGCTCAGCGGCGCCTCGCCTGCCTCGAAAGCACAAGGTCCTGAGTTTGATCCCCAGTACCAAAAAATAAAAATAAAAAATAAATAAATCAAGGCCAGCTGGAAGCTGGGGGTTAGGGTACACAGTTGAACCTTGGCCCTCCTGTTCCCACTTTATAACTCTGCCTAGGAAGTCACGTAATATCACTTTGGTGAACTCTTGTTGGACTCATGGGAAGGGGACACAGATTCTACTTCCCAATGAGAAGTATCAAGCCCACTTACAGAAGGATGGAGATATTGTGCGGCCAGCTTTGAAGAAATGACTGCCATACCTGGCAAGGGTATCCATACTTATCCATTTAATCTGATGCAGTTTTAGATTTTGGTTTCCTTGGTCTAACTCCTTTAATCCATTTCATATCCCGTAACTCCTGCCAAGATAAAATGGCAAGAGACTATCTCTTTCTAGGACATTTTCTTTCTTTTTCTTTTTTTTAAGACAAGATCTCATTATGTAGCTCAGGCTGGCCTCGAACTCCAGGCAGTCCTCTGCCTCAGCCTCCTGAGTGCTGGGATTACAGGCCTGTTCCACCACACCCAGCTCTCTCGGACATTTTCAGTACTTTCTGGCAACACTGCCTCCCTTCTGCCCAATTTATATTCCATCTAGGCTAATGCCTATTGATCAGTGCCACCCACACCCAGGGTAGGGCTTCCCTCTTCACTAAACCCATTCAGCCACACCCAGAACTATGCTAAACCAACTCGGGAACTAATCCAGACATCAAACACCCTTAATCCATATTCACACACCCTCGATCCAGCCACCTCGGGAAGGCCCCCCACCTATGAGCCCATGAGGCTTTGGGGGGGACATCTAGACACAAACCATAAGAATATTGCTAGACACTAAAGACTTCACCTAGGGCATGGCCCATCACATACCAGATGTCATGTGATCTGCTGAACCATGAAACACGATGTCCCCAACAGAATTCCAGTGTATAATGGAAGCAGTAGGTAGGAAAGAAACTAGGCTTGAGCTGGAAGATAAATTAGGTAAAAATCTTGAAGACACAGGTGTGGGCAAAGACTTTCTGTACAGAACTCTAACTGCACAAGAAATAACAAAAAATCAAAAATGAGACTGTGTCAAATTAAAAAGCTTTTGCACAGCAAAACAAACAGCAGTGAAGACAACCTACAGAATAGAAAAAAATTTATGTCAGCTACTCCTCAGAGAACTAATATCTAGAATACAGAAAGAAGCCCCCAAATAATCTGACCCTCCCAAAATACGAGACCCAATCCAAAAAAAAAGGCATCTGAAATGAACAGATACTTCTTAGAAGTGTGAGTATAAATGACCAATAAATACATGAAAAAATATTTAACATCTCTGGCCATTAGAGAAATGCAAATTAAAACAACACTGAGAGTCCATCTTACTCCAGGAAGAATGGCTGTCATCAAAAAACCAAGTAATAAGTTGCAGCCCTTGTGCTGGTGCATCCACCCTCTCTCCCTCGGGTCTTCCTCCCTTCGCTCCCACCATGGCTGATCAGCTGACTGAAGAACAGATTGCTAAATTCAAGGAAGCTTTCTCCATATTTGATAAAGATGGTGATGGCACCATCACAACAAAGGAACTAGGAACTGTCATGAGGTCACTGGGTCAAAACCCAACAGAAGCTGAACTGCAGGATATGATCAATGAAGTGGATGCTGATGGTAATGGCACCATTGACTTCCCAGAATTTTTGACTATGACGGCTAGAAAAATGAAAGATACAGATAGCAAAGAAGAAATCCGTGAGGCATTCTGAGTCTTTGACAAGGATGGAAACTGTTACATCAGTACAGCAGAGCTACATCATGTCATGACAAATTTAGGAGAAAAACTAACAGATGAAGAAGTAGATGAAATGATCAGAGAAGCAGATATTGATGGAGATGGACAAGTCAACTATGAAGAATTCGTACAGATGATGACTGCAAAATGAAGACCTACTTTCAACTACTTTTTCTCCCCTCTAGAAGAATCAAATTGAATCTTTTACTTACCTCTTGCAAAAAAAAAGAAAAAAGTTCATTTATTCATTCTGTTTCTATATAGCAAAACTGAATGTCAAAAGTACCTTCTGTCCACACACACAAAATCTGCATGTATTGGTTGGTGGTCCTGTCCCCTAAAGATCAAGCTACACATCAGTTTTACAATATAAATACTTGTACTACCTTAATGATAAGGAAGCACTCAGTAGACTCCTTAAAGTTCCATTTGCTAATGATTAATACACTGTTTGGGCTGGCCAGTTTTTCATGCATGCAGCTTGACGATTGAGCACAGTCAAGCATTTGTATTAAAATTGAAAAATGAAAAATGAATTCAAAACCTACTCAGATGGGTTCAAGTTCAATTTGTTAGTATAAATTTGTCACGGCTGGTTTACTGAAAACAAACACATTTAAAATTGGTTTACCTCAAGATGATATACAGAGAATGGGTGAAGGATAAACTGCTGAGAGGTAGCCCCAGTAGCAGGATGGTCCTCTTGTATGTCCCTGTGCTCCGACCCATGGTGGCAGTGACACCGTGGTGGCATGCCCGCTCATGCTGGTTTAGCAATGTCTGCATTGTACTTAGTGAAATGGGTGTCAGACTGTCAGACTCACACACATTTTTAATAAGAAATCTTTTACAAGGGAGCATCTTTAGACTCTGTTTTTAAAACCTTCCGAACCATGACTTGGAGCCGGCAGTGTAGGCTGTGGCTGTAGACTTCAGCACAACCATCAACATTGCTGTTTGAAAAATTACAATTTATATCCATTCCAAATTGTAAATGCTAGTCTTTTTTTTTCCAATAAAAAAAACACATTAACTTAAAATGGTGTTAAATGCTTTGTAAAGCTGAGATCTTAAAAGGGGACAAGGCACTTGGAGGGGAGGCCAGTGTACATTTAAGTGCCCACAGCCCAGTGTTGGGCTTCCCTCCCTCCCAAGATCCCAGCACCAACCTCTGAGCCTTAAAACCTTGCCTCAAGACAGGTGCATACTGATCGCTTTACCATATTTATCAACAACATAAGTCTAGTTGCGTTTTCTCTGGGGGGAGGGGGGAGGCAAATCATGATAACTTAATCTATTGAGGTGGTAGAGCTGTTACTGAAGGAAAAAACCACTTTCTCAAGCATGTATTTAGGGGTTCTTCTCAATTGTGCTACTGATTACCTGTTTTATGTAACTACTCGAGACCATCTTTAGAAGAGACATGATTTAGTGTGTCAGTAATTCAATCCTTGCCATGTGTGGTAGAAGCAGTAGTACTTTCTTAAGCCAGTCTCTTCATGCCTAAAAGACTACCAGCCACCTTGATTCAGAGTTTATGATTAGCTTCCTTTTATTTTTTTCTGTTTTTGTTTAAAGTTGGCTTGACTTTTGCTTTTTTTTTCCTCCCCCCTCAAGTAGAACTAATGCTAAGCCTCTGGCTTGAAAGTAAAACTCTGACCCAGAGTGAATTTTGTGTCTAATTATAAACCTGTAATCAAAACCCAGAATCCTGGTACTGGTCTTTGCAGTGGGATTGGTCCATTGAAAAAGCCCCCTTACAAGCATCCTGCATTTAGTGCAGGGCTCTTTTGAAATGAAGGCTGGATGTGCAGTTTTCAGGGTGTTAACTGGTTGTATCTTATTAGCAAGGAGATTTGAGTTCTGTGTGTTTGTGCTGGTGGTTTTAATTCGCCAGGGGATGGTGGCAGGCTGCTAGCAGGGCAGTGATGAGCTCTTGGCAGCCAAGTGGGTGCATTCTGGGCTGATTTATACAGACCCTTGGCATCTCCTCCCTCTCCTACTCCCTGTCTTTCTGGCATTTTGTAGCTTGTTAGATTTTCTGCCAGAGGGGTGGGTCAGAGCCGTGGAGAGGATTCATTGCCACTGTGCAGCTGCTACCAGTCCTTGGACTTCATGGTTGGTAGAGGAGAGGTTGACCCCGATTCTTTGAATCTTTGAGAGGAACACCCAAGAATCCCTTGGGAGTTTCTCTTGTGGTGATAGGCAGTACTGCAGGGTCTCTGAATAAGTCTACGACCTAAGAGAAACCTCTTAGGGGGTCAGACAGCCCAGTTGTGGGCCCAGTCTCAGGCCTGGGGTCAGTGACCTCTTGGTAGTTTCAAGGGGGTTTGGGGGCTGTTTGTTTTTAAAGACTTAGCTCCTACTGTACTTTTACCAAGTCTTTCTGGAAGCTGGGTGGACTCTATTTTCATAGTCCCACAGTCTGTCCTAAAAGACTACCTTTGGAACAGGATTCTTGTGTGGCCAGGATCCTGTGTGGGAACTAGAAACCTTGCTCTGCAGGGAGTGCTGAGTTCCAGCCCGGAGCAGAGGTGAGGTAGAGTCCACTTTAGCCTTTACCCTGGCATCTGGGGGCATGACCAGCCCAGGAGTTGGGTGGTAGTAGTCTGTGAGTTAGGGAGAAGAAAGAGCTTGATGTTGCAGCACCCTCCTGTAAACTTGCCCCTACTTCTAACTATAAATATATACATATATTTATATATATAAAAGTGATTAGTTTAACTGGCATCCTGCTTTAGCCTGAGACTTGCCATAAGAAACTGCTGAGTACTTGGTAAACCCTTTCATAGTTTCGATCTCCATCTGTTTGGGTTAAGTGTTGAGCAAGGCAAATGGATCTCAATATTCAGGTGGGCTTTTGATGCATTGTTGCCAGGGAAGGCTTTTTCTGATTTTCAGACAAATTTTTGCACACTTTAATTGGTGTCTTTTGGCAATTTAAACACATTGAAGATGAGCTATTGTACATATTTTTATATTCTTTATAAAGGCATGTCCAACTGTACTTGTAACAATATTGTAATGAATGGCTGTCCAGTAGGCCTAGGGCTGCTGTCACATCAGAGGAATAGCACATTATTGGCCCCTCAGCATCCTGGGAACTTCTCCCTAAACAAAGAATGTAAATTTGCTCAAGTCTACTCTTCATTCAATTATTTTAACCATTTGGATTATTTATTGTATGCCCTATATATATCCTTCTGGCAGTGACTAGATTTCCACTAATGTGTCTTAATCTATCCCTTCAGCTGGCAGTTACTATTTTTTTTAATCCCTTGAAGTTTTCCTGTAGGAGACAGAAATTCTTTGCTGTCTATCCCTTGGAGTAAGAAAGTAGTGGCATGGGTGGAGTGTATGTTCTTTCTCCAAATCTATTATAATGTCATTAAACACTTCTGTAGCAAAGATGGTGGTGGTTCTTTTGTTACTGAAGTTGCCCTTCTCCATGGCTATTTGAAAAGGAGTTGTACTTGAACGTTTCTGTAAATCTTGAGATGAACTGTTTGAAGATTTAACCGCCTCTCTGATGGGGGACCAACTCTATGGAAATTGTAAATAAGTTTTATTTATAAACCTGGCACTGTATTCAATACACATTTCTGCAGCCTTTCATCTCTAAAAAACCCCCCAAAAACCAAGTAATAAATGCTAGCAAGGCCAAGAGAAAAAGGAACACTTGTACATTGTTGGTGGGAATGTAAACTACTACAAGGACTGTGGAAATCAGTATGGAGATTCCTCAAAACACTAAAAACAGAAACTCAACTCGACCCAGCTTATTCCCCTCTAGGTATCTTCCCAAGAATTAAAGGGATCATAGTACAGTGATGTATGCTCACCAATGTTGACAGCAGCACAATTTGTAATAGCTAAATCTTGGAAGCAGCCTAATATCTCCATCAACAGATGAATGGATAAAGAAAATGTAGTATTTAGGGGCCGGGGATTTAGCTCAGTAGTTCCACCACCTTCCTCGCAAGCGCAAGGTCCCAAGTTCAATCCCCAGTACCAAAAAAAGAAAATGTAGTATTTAGACACAATGGGCTGAAGGGGAGAAAAAGAGCTTGGATTTTTATACCTAAAAATGTTATTATTTCAAATGTAAATAAACCAAAAAGTAAGCAACTCTTCACATGCCCCAAAAGTGAGGGAAAGTTTATTTTTACAAGATTAGAAAAAAAAAATCCTTTATAACAAGTACATAAGAATAAAAATCAGTTCCAGTTATATTTTTATGAAAAGAAGAAAGTAGAGACTATAACTGAAAACTATAACTACTTTTGGTTAACTGATACAAATATCTTTGAGGGCCGGAGATTTAGCTCGATGGTTTTGCCGCCTGCTGCGCAAGCACAAGGACCCAAGTTCAATCCCTGGTACCAAAAAAACCAACAAATATCTTTGAAAAGAAAAGAACACAACAGAAATGGTATAAAATAACTTTTATTTACATAATTTATATCTATGGAACATAACTGCTTTCTTTAAAACAAGAAAATTTACATATGACAGATATTGCTTTTTTGTCAAAGACTTCTTTAAGCAAGATAATATACATGGTCACTTGTATTGGATATGGTAGTAAACAGTTGATATTACTACTTTTATCTGTGCCTCATTCATCCACCATCAATTAAGCTTTTAAACCACCATGTTGGTCATTTGTTAAGATGTAAGCATTCAGGAGGAAAAAAATTAAGATAAACACCTTTTATCACATCTCCTTTAAGGTTTATAAATTTTTATAACATCTTTACATCAATCAGACTTAACACAGATATTTCCACCATGTAAGGTAAATATGCTAAGTAAGTTTCTGTTTTTCCAAGATTAATTTTAATGATATAACAGGATAATTTGTTGACTGATGTGATTATTTATACAATGAATGTCCCTGCATCCATTACTGAGTAAGAAATTGTATCTTCCATAAAACTAGTTTATTGTGGATGAGTGTGTCAAGACATTAACAAAGTTAAAAAATAAATATTATACAGGGATAAATAATAGGTTAGTCATGGCAATCTAACACCCACACTAACACTGACAAAAGAATACCTTTTCAGAATAAGACATAAAAATTTACAAAACCAGGATATTAAAATAGCATGATTTATACTCCATGATTTTTGATATATTAATCACATGAAATAAATAAATGCATAATTGTAGAGAATTTCCACTCAGATTTATAGACCTTCCTTTACAACACAATGGTAAAGTGAAATTGGAAATTTCACTATAAGGCAACAAGTAAGAAATTTGCTCTAAAAGAAGCCGGACGTGGTGGCGCATGCCTGTGATCCCAGCACTTGGGAGGCTGAGATAGGAGGATCACCATGAGTTTGAGGCCAACTTGGGCTACATAGTGAGTTCAAGGCCAGTCTGAATTACAGAGCAAGACTCTGTGCCGGGGCGGGGGCGGGGGGGGAGGCTCTAAGAGCGAATTTAGTTTCATCACTGTTGGCAAGTCAACATCACTGTTGGGACTCGCTGGGCTGCTGTCCACTTTACTAAGGAGCCTGAAAACTGGCCACTATCCTTTCAGTATACAAACACTAAAATCATCTAGACTTTAAAATAGTTTTCCAATTGAAATACCAATCATTTCATAAAGCAATCAACACAGCTGTGGACATAACTCAGAATTTCAGTGACAAGGAACTCATACACAGCTGTCAGCACCTTAAAGAAAATGGTCTACTGCAGGGGCCAAACCCAACCTAGTCCAGTCACAGACTCCATTCGAGTACCGGCTGCAGCTGGGTCCACATGAAACGGAGGCGCTGAGGAGCTACCAGAGACCATGGAACCTGGGAACCCAACATTACCTTGCAGAAGGCTTTCCAAACAGAATCAGAATAGATCTGCTCTTTTGAGAAATTTGTTGCAGGAAAAATTTGCTCAGGTAGATTTGAAATATATATATACATATATACAACATATACATATCATATATACATTACATACATGTCATATATGTGTATAGCACACGAGTAAAGCATCAAATTTCAAAAGTAAAATGATTTAAATTAATATTGGTAATTGCTGACTTCTTAGTCTTATTTTCTGCTTATATCTTGTGCCAATGGTCTAAGCGTTCCTTGACCAGGATTTAATGAGGTAAAATGTTTCAAAAAATTGGGGTATTGGGCCAGGGATTTAGCTCAGTGGTTCTGCCGCCTGCCCAGCAAGCGCAAGGACCCAAGTTTGATCCCCGGTACCAAAAAAAAAAAAAAATAGGTGTTTTAAAAAAGGAGTATGAATATGTAAAGGAGATTGAGTTTTTTGTGAAAATTTTCCTTATAGATGAATTAGTTTTTCTCCTCATGAAAATCCTGAGATTATCTAAAATAGAAGAAAAGCAAAAACATTCACAGTTCAAAATCTATATACTAAACTATGAGGAAAAAAGTACTCAAAACATATATATATCACCAGGTATGGTGGCACAGGCCTGTGATCCCAGCACTCATGAGGCAGACATAGGAAAATTGCTGCAAGTTTCAGGCCAGCCTGGGCTATACAGTGAGCTCGTAGCCAGACTGAACTACATAGCGCGACCCTGTCTCAAAAGACCAAAAAAAAAAAAAAAAGTATCCCCAAATTTTGAGTTACATCATTTTAAATATCTTTAAAGAGGAAAATGAGACAAATACAAATTTGTTAATGCCTTCTTTACCCACAATCTGAGGGGTAAAAATAATTAAAACTGAATATCCTTTTAAATAAAAAAATTTAAAAATAAATAAACTCTTTGATGTGTCATTTTTATAAATACTAAGTTTAAATACTAGTTCTTCAATCAGGACTAATGTTACATCACCATGAAACAGAAAAATACATGTTTTTCGGACAGATGATAAAATAAAAATTTTAAGGGTCACATACTAAAGTGGAGATTCACAATTTGCTTTCGTATTAGAGGCCACTGAAAGGGCCTTCATCATCCCCCAAAAAAGCAACAGAAACAGAACAAAACTTTACAAAAGAAGTTTGCTAAATGTTAAATACAATCAATTCCCAATAAGACGGCACTGTGATTCAGCCAGACATTTGTCCACAACAGTCCCCAGTAGCTAGGTGTGCTCAGCGCAGGCAGAGTGGAAATGTAAACAAAGTCGCTATTTCTCAGAGCAGCTGCCCCTGGTTGGTGTTTCCAAAATGCCCAATCAGCCAGAATGAGAGGAACTTCAGCACTGTTTTCCACTGATTATGAATGTTTCAAATCAAGTTCATTAAATATTCAAAATTGACCTAAAAAAAAATAGCAATGCTTTTTTCTAAATACTGCTTTGTTGTTCCAACTGGCTCTAGAAATCCAAGATTGAAAAGAGAAAATAAGAACAGGAAAAACCCAAAGGCTGTTTTATTCTGCTTCATCTACTTTGATAAAGATATCACCGAAGAAATATTCCGAGACTGTGGATGGCTCCTCCGACTCAGGTGCCTGCTTTTGGCCACTTTTACATTCTTCTTTCAGTGACGGTTGATCACAGGAAACCTATAAAGGTAACAAATACAAAATGCAATACAACACTTACATATTGCTGTCTGGGTTGGAGATGTGGCTCAGTGGTAAGGCACTCACCTGGCATGTGCAAAGCCCTGGGTTTAAAATTAAGAGGGATTTTGCCGCCAGCTGCACAAGAGCAAGGACCCAAGTTCGATCCCCGGTACCAAAAAAAAATAAAAATAAAATAAAAATAAAATAAAATTAAGAGGGAAAGGGCCAGGGATTTAACTCAGTGGCACCGTACCCGTCTTGCAAGCGCAAGGACCTGAGTTCGATCCCCAGCACCAAAAAAAGAAAAAAAAAATTAACAGGGAAAAAGACTAAGGTAACTTTTGTTGCATTAGTTATAATAATAAAATTAGAAGCAATCTAAATCTACAACATTAGATATGATTATGTAAATTATAATATATTGACAATCTATTACTTTACCCTAACTCCCATGAAACAATTTTAATATAGAAAAGCATAACATTGCTAGATGGGCATGGGGGTGCACGCCTGCAATCCCAACACTCTAGGAGGCTGAGCAGTAGGATCACAAGTTCAAGCTTAGGCAATTCAGTGACTCAGCAAGATCCTGTCTCAAAATTTAAAAAGGAGCCTGGCATGGTGGTGCACACCTGTAATCCCAACACTAGGGAGGCTGAGGAAATCAGATTGCTGGACTACATAGTGAGTGCAAAGCCAGCCTGAATTTCTACAAATCAATGTAAAAAAGATAAATAAGCCAATTTTTTTTTTTTGGTACTGGGGATCAAACTCGGGACCTTGTGCTTGCTTTCGAGGCAGGCGGCAGAACCACTGAGCTAAACCCCCCAGCCCTATAAACCAATTTTTTAATAGAAATCAAATGACATAAACAAATACCCCACAGATAATAAAGCCTAGAATGATTTAAACACACCAAGAGATTCTCAGTCTCACTCAATTGAGAGTAGGTGCTCAATGAAGAAACAGAGTGTCAAAGGGAAAAGCACTGCTAATCTAGCAGTGAGAAAACAGACCCTCCATACAGCTAAAGAAAGAAGCTGACAGGTTTCTACTGGGGATGATCAGCCATCAGCTGTCAGAAGAATAATCATTCCTTTTGACCAAGTAAATCCACTTACAGGAATTAAACTTACCAATAACTGTGCCAAATGATCCAAGTATAAGTTAGCTATTGCCATATGTTTTATTTTTGTTATACTGGGGATTGAACCCAGGGCCTTCAAAGTGAGTTACATCCCCAGATCCCTTTAGTTTGAGACAGAATCTTGCTAAGTTTAAATTGCACAGACTGGGCTCGAACTTGTGATCTTCCTGCCTCAGCCTCCCAGAATACTGGGATTACAAATGTGTGCCACCACAGTCTGCACTGCCATACTGTTAGAAATAGAATATAGTTAGGAATAACCTAAAGGCCTACAAATATGAGACCAGTATTACTTTAAGGTACAACCAAATAGCAAAATATCACATACCCATTTAAAAAATGAGGACATTCTAGGACAATTATCCCTGAAAAAATAAAACTTTATGTTGACACGAAGACCTGTGTATGAATGTGAATAGGAGCTTTGTTCATAACAGCCCCAACTGAAAGCAACTCAGATGTGCTTCAGTAGGTGAATGAGTAAATAAAAGTGGTACATCCACACTGTAGAATACTATGCAACAACAAAAAGCAACAAACTTGAATGACCCCAGCTACTCAAGGCTGACTACTCAAAGCTGAGCCAGGAGGACTGCATGTTTGAGGTCATTATGGAAACCTGTGAGGGTCCGTTTCAATGTAAAGTGGAAGGGTGCTGGAGACGTAGCTCAGGACTCCCTGGTTTCAACCCCCAGTGGGGGGAGGGAGGAGGGGGGGCAGCAGTAGCTCTTTTATTTACTGTATTGCAAAGGTCTCTGATATATACTATTACGTTAAAAAAGCAAGTTAGATTAACAGTATGTTATTGGGCTGGGGATTTAGCTCAGTGGTTCCGCTGCCTGCCTTGAAAGCACAAGGACCTGAGTTTGATGCCTGGTACCAAAAAAACCCCCCAAAAAACCAAAAAACAGTATGTTATTATTTGTAAAGAAAAAGGAAACATGTTTATATTTGTGTATATATAAAATATCTCTGAAAAAAAAGTATCTGTGGAAAAATAAACCAATGGCTAGGGCTGTAGCTCAGTGGTAAAGAATCTCTACCATGTGTGAGGTTCTAGGATCAATCACCAATTCTGAGGGGGAAAAAAAGTAAACCAGAAACTCACAACTCTCACATACCTGTAGGAAGAGGAAGTCAGGAAGGTGAAACATGAGTGGGGAAAATTTTTCACACTACACCATTTTTGGGGTAGATTATGAATTTTAAAGCATATAGGAAATATTACTCATTACAAATAAATAAAATTCCAAATGGAGAATAAAATTTGAATTTCTTGCCTCATACTACATATTAAAGTCATTAACTATACATAGAATCAAATTTTTTAAATTGATTCCTGAAAACTTTATACCTCTGGAGAAAAACTTCCTAACAATAAGCTATAAATAAACAAAAAACAATAAATTAAAACACAAATGAGAAATTCTAGTAAATATGTGGGAAAACCCAAGTCACTAATAATTAAGGCAATGTAAATGAAACCAATAAAATTTCCACTCCTCCATTTATTCCTTTGAGACGGACTGGCAATGTAGCCCAGACTGGCCTCAAACTCAAGACACTCCCTCCTGCCTCAGCCTCTGGAGTGCTGGGGTTACAGGTCACCATAGCCAGCTCATGCACCATTGATTTAATTAAAAAAAAAAAAAAAGAATGTGATTTAGTTTAAGTGTTAATGTCTAATGCAGGCAAGGAAAAGATTAAACTGGCATTGACACACCAGCAATTGTAACAACCATTCTATAAAATAATTAGGTGATAATCACATATTATAAATACAGGTTCACAGAGTTTTCTAACCTAGTGCTTGCCATTAGCTCCAGGATGCAGAGAAACAAAATACAAATGGTCATTTTATGGCTCCTTGGCTTCTTGTGGATGTCAGGACATTTCTCATAAGGCAAATTTAAATGCCAAGCACTGCTTCATTTTGCTTCTACAATCAGAAGGGTCTTTGGAGGGCTAGGGATTTAGCTCAGTGGTTCCACAGCCTGCCTCAAAAGTGAATTCAATCCCCAGTACCAACAAAAAAAGGTCTTTGGATTAAGAGTGGTGATCAAATATCCTTTTACTGTTAGTTCACACGCTCTATACTAAACCAGCTGTAACTTCCTCATCCAATACCTCTCTCCTTCCAGGATGGAGGCTTTGATGGGGTGGAAATGAATGGGAGTTGCCCTAAAGTCATCTGTGAAAACCAAACGGAAATAAAATGACCATGTTCTCCCTAGCTGAGTCTGACATCCAATCCATTTTATACACACAAAATACAGCAGTTCTCACACCTGAGTTGCTGCGTTGCCGGCATCCTCAGCTTGAGTACTGGTGGCATCACTTGGAGATGGAAGCACATTAGAGGACTCTTGATTTTTTTTCTGGGTTTCATTGGGTGGATTAGATCTTTTCAAATTCCGTCTTGATACAGGTAGAAGAGGTTTCAAGCGCTTTTTGCTACGGACATGAGTAGGTTCATCAGACTCCATCAAATTATTCTTTGAACATATTAAAGCTAAAAATCCCAGGGGTCTTCTGCCAGACCTAGAAATGTAAATGTAAAGATAGTCAAGAATATCTAGAAAAATACATTCTATTTTATTTTTTATTTTTCTGGTACCGGGGATCAAACCTGGGACCTTGTGCTTGAGAGGCAGGTGGCAGAACCACTGAGCTAAATCCCCTGGCCCGAAAATACATTTTAAATACCATTTTCTTTCCATAAATGCTAAAATGGCACACTTACTAAGTACTGATGCCATTAGGTCAGAACATAGATTTTCTTTTGGTACTGGGGATCGAACTTGGTCCTTGCACTTGCACAGCAGGTGGCGAGACCACTGAGCTAAATCCCCAGCCCCAGAACATAGATTTTTAACAGGACCAAGGAGTATTGTAGAGCAAGGCTTCACAGATTTAGAAGTGCATATAACATCACCTAGAGGTGTTACTAAAAGTTCAAAGCTGGGCATGGTGGTGCAGGCCTATAATCCCAGCACTAGAGAGACTGGGGCAGGAGGATCAAAACAAATTCCAGGCCAGCCTGGGCTACATAGTGAGTTCAAGGCCACACTGAGGTCGAAGACAGAGACAGAGACGGGGGATGGGGGACAGGATGGGGACTGGGACAGGGAGGGAAGGGGGGGGAAGGGGGAGAGGGAGTGGGAGTAAAAAAGAAAAGGAAAAGGAAAACAAAAACAGTGTGGGAGAAGTTGGTTTTGAGCTTAAATTTAGAGAGAAAGCCATGGTTTATGTCTTTAGTGTGCCACAAAGGAAGAAAATGACACATATTTTGGAATTCAATAAAACAACTTCCAGAGCTACCTCTGGTATCAGCTCTATGTCTCCAAACATCTACATGTGTATTCATTGGTACTGTATGGCAGAATATGTAATAATCAAAATAATAACTACAGACAAAGTATGCAATAGTCTAAAGATTTTCTATTCAAAATAGGCAAAGCTTCACCATTTAAGTTAAGCTCTCATCACACGGAACATTATTGTATTTCTTTTGAATGGTCTTCCCCTTCCATTACAGTCACAGGACATATTTATATAGCAACCTTAGTGCTGAGTTTAACCTTTACACACGAGTCTATTCTATGCAGGCTGCAGACACTCAGAGGCGCAGGGGACTTTCTCATGATACCTGGTGAGTGGGGCTTTTGAAGACTTTGTCCTGACTCCCCTCTGTTCAGACTTAGAAGCTGCATCAATTCTTTCTTCATCAGACATAACCGCGTTATCCTGAGACAACTGAGGCATATTCTTCTCTATACATGTACCTATTATTTTATCAAGAGATCTAGATTCTTTATTTTGCAAGACTGGTTCAAGTCGCTCTTTCTGAGGTTCTGGAATTGTATATGTGCTTCTTGAGGTGGTAGAAATACCTTGTCCCTTGTGAGATTCTCCTTCAAGAAAAAGATAGTTAAGGGTAAGTACATATCTTGAAATTAATTTATATCATGTCACCATAAAATTCAAAGAAAAAAAAATCCATGTAATTCAATAACAAATCCAGTCTCATAAGAGTAAGCTACTTGGGGCAGGGATTTAGCTCAGTGGTTCCACCGCCTGCCTCAAAAGTGCAAGGTCCCAAGTTCGATCCCCACTATCAAAAAAAAAAAAAGAGTAAGCTACTTAAAAAAAAAAAAAAAAGAAAAAGAGTAAGCTACTGAGCAAGCATAGAACCCTGAGTTCCATCCCTGATATCAAAAAAAGAAAAAGAGGAGGAAACAGAAGAATAAGGTAAATTATGTAGCTCAGCGGTAGAAAAGAAGAGGCAGGGAGGGGCCGGGGATTTAGCTCAGTGGTTCTGTCGCCTGCCTCGCAAGAGCAAGGACACGAGTTCAATCCCCAGTACCAAAAAAAAAAAAAAAAAAAAAGAAGAGGCAGGGAAGTAGGAGGGGGAGAAGGAGCAGGAGAAAAGAAAAGAGCTAACTAGTTAATAAAAGCTATAGTAATAGCTTCTGCAAAACAGTCATACCACTACACAAAATAATTATCTTTCCACATTTTGACCTAGAAAAATCTTCTTCCAAAAATATCCCTTGAACTATCAAAATGAAAAGGTGATCATTTCCTAAAACTCCAGGGCTTCTTAAAATGTAGAAGCTAATCCAACTCAATACAGGTGGTAACTTTTGGGTATCATGTGCTGATGGAAAAGTAAGGTTGGAGATTTAGCTCAGTGGCACCCTGCCTGCCTGGCGAGCACAATGTCCTGAGTTCAATCCCCAGTACCAGGGGGGAAAAACGTACATAAAGCCCACAGCCCACTAACTAATACACGTAAGTTAGTTAAGAGTTTTCTTCTCTAAACCAAGTACAAAAGCTAAAGTAGCAATTAATTAGGATAACATAGTTTTGGTTCAGATCTAGAACAAAACTTTCATGTGTTCAGAGGTGGGGCTTTGGAAGGTGACTGGATCATTGTGGTGCTATGCTCAACACTGGACTGATCCACTGAGGAGTTGACAGCTAAATGTGCTATGGGAGGCAGGGCCAGTTGGGGAGCAGTGTGCCCGAGTGTGTGCCTTTGGAAGGTGCATCTCTCTCCCCAGCTTCTCCCTTCTCTGTGCTTCCTGGTCACCATGAGGCAAGGAGTTTTCTTCCATCATGCCCTCCACCATGACATTTTTGTCTTGAAGCCAGCTGGCCACAAGTTCCCTGAGAGTGCCGCATTAAATATTTCCTCCTTTAAATTATGGGTGTCAGGTATTTTGTCTCAGCAACAGGAAAGCTGACTAACACAAATAATGAGAAACTTCTTCTTTTTTTTTTTTTTTTGTACTTTCCGAGCATTCCTACTTACCCCTAATTGGAGCTGAGGCTCAGCAAAGCCTAACTGTATCTGACACTGTGGACAGGGCCTTGGCCTCCACAGGGAGCTGCTCACCTGCTGTCCCTGGAGGCTGAGATGTCCCAATGCCCATGAAAAACTTTTTTTTTTTTTTTT